TATTTTAGTATATGTTGACTAGCATATTGCCATATGCAAATTGCAGCGGTAACATGAACATTCAACGATCGCGTTACACCTACTTGTGGTATTTCCACACATTTGTCAAACAGAGGTATGAAGTTTGCTAGTATACCATCCTTCTCGTTTCTACAAAACATCTTTTTTAATTGTAAACATCTTTTATCGTATTAACTTCAAAGTGAAATGTCATTAGTTAATATTTAATTACCCCAAAATGAGAACTGTCTTTTTCTGGAAATGTGTTGTCATCAGATTTACGCTATTGGTTGTTTGTTCAGCACCAATTAACGACCATCCTGCATTTTTTTTGTTCAACAAAAATTTCTGTAACTCATGCGGCTTCACCTAGAGAATATAAAATATCGTATTATATTTTTCTGAATTAATTACAACTAATAAATTTGATAAAGAAAAATATTTAAAATTTTGGGTTATTTTTGATGTTTTTTAAAAGACGAAAATTATTAAATGATTTAAAAAAGGATGCTTATGCCACGTCATAGAAAATCACGTTTAACAATTTTTGAAATTACGAATCTCAAAAAAAGTTATTAAAATACCTGTATCATATTTAACCATTTATCAGCGGATACACTAAGACTCTGAAATTCTTTATCCTTTACGCAATCTACATTTGCGACGACTAGTGCTTTAACTCCAAATATCTCACACGTTCTAGCAATACCGCCTAAATTCGGCGGTCGATCGACAAAGGATGCTACAACTATTAAACCTTCCTGTAATTGTATATTTTGTGTATATATGAACTCTTTCATCATTCCGAAAACATCATCGTTTAAATCTGGAGGCTTTGAAGGATCAATTTTTTTCTGAATATCATACAAACCCTCTAAACAAATCTCAACATTACTTTCACACGATTCACCACGTGCATCACCTGCAAACATAATTATTTTATATTCTATGCAACATATTTATTTTCTTTCTAATTTACCTGTAACCGATTTTGTCAAATAAATAGAAAATTTTGTTTTAGAAAGTAATGAATCAGTATTATAAAGCTGCAGAGGATGTCTGTCACGCTGTTTAAACATCAAATCTTTAAACACATCCGGACTAATCCATTCATCGCAACTCACGTTAGTCAAACGTGGAAATTCGTAATAAATAGCCTACAAAACAATACATTAATATGAAATTGACAAATTAACTCTGTCTTAAAAACAAAACAATGTATGTACCTGCAAGCTGTAATCGTTGATCGGATGAAAGTGGGAAAAATAAAAATCATCTTGCATCCTGCCTGAATTTTTTATCGAATTTTCTTGCTGTAAAGTTGCAATTGCTGCTGCCTGATGTATACCTTTGTAGGCTGATATGCTGTCATCGCCGTATGTTGCCTTCATTAATTCGCACAATCGTGTTAAGACGAACTGAATAATAAAAAAAAAAAAAATGAAGGCAAGTGAAAATTATAGGATATATGCAGACATATATGTAGATATGTTTTAATATTTGTTTCGAGACTTTACTTGCCTGATTATAAATGCGCGCATTAAATTGCTGCCCCAAGCAACATTGCACTATGTACGGCAGTGCTGTTTCAATAAAAGTTTTTTGATTATCATTCGAGAGGAGTTTTGAGACGTGATAGACGATGCTTGCCATAGAAATCGTACACCTCGGTCGACTTTCTATACTCTGGAAATATATACACTATCAGATTTAAAGACATTTTTATTTCTATATGATTTTAAAATTCATTTGAATTACTTTCTCAAAAAGTGACCATAGTTCCTTATGCAGATCGTTATTCTTTACCAAGATTCGTATCATCAACCATTCCTGCATCAATTTCACACTAGACTGATTGCTTTCCGTATAAATGAAATCACACAATTTTTATATACCAGAAAAGTTAATTCCTATAAAGCAGTTCATCATTAATTACGTAATCGAGAAAAAAAAGTAAAATTTAATTAATAAAAGTTTAGCTTACCGCAGTCAATATTGGTTCTAATATTAATAAAATTTGCATTAGTCTGTGTTTCAATTTATGCAAAATGGAATCTTTAAAGTATCGCCTGTTTTTGTTCTGTTCCAATGCATTGATTACAATCCGCGTAAATGTTTCTACATACTTTATTTCTGGATGACTAATTATTTTATGTAATAGTATAACCGCCTCTGCTCTAATTGCAATATCGTTATTATTATCTCTATTAACAGAACATCAATGTACCACTTTGAACATTTTAATAATGGCTATATATTAAAATTTTTCAATATGAATACCAAATAAGGTATCGATAAATAGATATTTACATCGTGAAGATATGTTCGGGATAATAATGGCTCAGGTGCTTAATAATAAACAAATGAGCGTTAGTCTCAATTTTCTTATCACGCCGATATACAGAACCATGAAGGAGACAATTTACTAATAGCGCTTCTAATTTCATTATATTTTCTACTTTTAAATCTTGCATTTCAGAAAGTATTATCCTTTTAAATCTCGGTGTATTCTCTCCTTCGTTCAGTAATTTAACAATATACTACAAAGCAAAATGGATTCATATGATCAATATTTTGAAAATATCAATATATTATATGTTTCAAATAAATTTCTGACTTACTCCTTTCACGAATTCTACAGCATTAGGTAAACGCAAAAATTTATTACTTATAATAACTCCCACGAGTTCCTCCATTGCTGTCCAGAAAATATTATTCTTCTTACTGTCCATGATACATGTAAAGCCCAAATTGAAAATATATTCAAAAGTTTTTCTATTGTTTATATATTCATTATTCTCTTCGCATATAAACTTATAATTTATCATTCTTAGTATTAATATAATTTCAGGTACATTTTTTGGTAGACCTAACTCAAGAAACTGTTGCAGATTAGATAGCAACGTACTAACAGGAATCCCCAATGTCTCTAGAGAATCATAAACATTATTTACGAGATATTGAGATATAAGTTTCGAAAGGAGCAAGAAATATTCCGATGCAATTTTTCCTCTTAAATTTCTCATGTCGGTCACATCTTGCTGAATGTTTATTGATGACGTATGTAAAATATCTTTCATATAATTATCCCAAGAGTTTCCGAGTATTTTCTGAGAGATATACAAGACGTGCAATCCATACAAATATTGCATGTTTAGATTATGTTTTAAATCGTTTACTAAATTTATACTTTCCTTTTGCAATCTTTCTACATAAATGTGTGCATCCTTCTCCGACATGAAAAAAGATGCTTTATAGATATGAAAGGATACAATAATTGTGTATCTTGTGTAATCTTCATATGTTAGCTCCGTGGACATCTTTCTTATATTCTTAATTAAAAAATTAAACGTATTTTTTATATGTAATGATATGAACTTCGTTATGTTGTCATTACAATTTTCCATGTCATGGCCTATTAAATGGGATATGAATTCTACTGCATTGATACTTGAAGGGATATCAGCGTAAGGCCTCACAGTGATACTGTTCAAAATGTTCAGCCAATTGTTCAACGCTTTCGCGGCGGGACATTCCTTATGCGAAAATATAAACTTTGCATCATATAACAAACACACTAGCATCGCAAACGTCTTAAGATTTACCCCTGGATTAGCTTCTACGTGCAAATATTGCATGCAAGTATCTTCCACGAAAGTTATTGCATTTTTCTTTGACAAAATTCTTGACAACCACGCCGTAATAATGTTCCAAGGAACTGTGTTTCTGTTGAGACTTTTTCTAAAGGAAAACGCAGCTAGAACGTTAGCGAGCAATGATAAGTCGTCTATTTGTTGTACATAATTGGGGATCACTTGCAACAGTTCAATTTGGGATGTGGTACGTAGAATATAGGAATGCATGCTCAGATTTGTTTGAACTAACGATTTAATGGCATCCAACTCAGCGGTTTGCCATGTACAATGCTGTTTCTGTTTTGATGAAGCGATTCGTAACGCATATATTATATAAAATATGGCTACGGGACCCCAGACTATTTCATTGATTCTCTTAAGAAATTTGTTGAGTAGATCACTTTTTTGTGCTCGTTCAAAAAATTCCGAGAGCTCTCTCACAATTCCTGGATATTTTTCATCGGTCTGATATTCGTAAAGGAAAGTGTTGTTCAGCATACTTATAAAGAGCTTGAGAAATTGATCGTTGAATACAGTCTCATCTAATTTACAAACGTACGATATACCCCATTTTACAATACGATTGTTCTCGTGCAGTAGGATTTTTTCAAAAATGCATTGCAGCCACACAATGTCGAAGCAATTACAGACTTTGTGCTCTTTGTTCGTTTCTACTAGAACAGTCATGTGAGTTAAAGCTGGCATTACTAAATGATCCTGTTTTTCTTCTAATACTTCATACAATAGATAGAATTTTTCTTTAATATTATCCACTAAGAACGTATCAGATTCGATACAAATAAATGGTGTAATTTCTTCCTTTATATATTGCAATTTTATTAACTCTGATCTGATGTTTTCACTCATAGAATTGATTGCTTTCTTCATCACATATAAAGCTTGCTTGCGATATTGTTGCAAAGATGATCGTAATCCCTTTAATATTAATAACCAGAATGTATTTTTACAATAAATATCACGATGGATATAATTCATCGAATTTGATGGTAATAAACATGTGTCTGCCATAATACTGAGAACAGTAAGAGATTCCTTTAAATCATCTATATTACACAGAACATAATCCCACAGTGGAAACACCATATACTCAGATGGAAAAATGTCTACCAATTTTGGAAGTATTGTAGCAAATGTTCTCCATTCGGAATCTTTCTTTGTATTCATCCATGACTTCATAATCTCCAGATATATAGGAATAAGATCACATATATCCGGATTAGGATTAGGTTGCAAGCGAAAAATTTCTATAAGGTGTCCCAATACCTCCATATACATATTTTTAGAATCATTGTTTACAAAATAAGTTTCATACAAATAAAGGAAGTTCTTCACATATTGCATACTGAAGTTGTTATCAAAGTAGAGTACTATTTGCAGAATGATTATGTCACACAGCAGCGAAACTTGCAATGAGTTTCGTAAACAATTTGATGGAAAGATCATCTTGATGTTAGGAATGCAGAGATCATTTATGTTACCAGATATCTCTACATACTTTTTGGTAATTTGGTTACTATGCATGGTTTGATATTCATAACATAATATCATCTTACAGAGCTTGAGTTTATTCATATCCAATTCCTCCTTGATCATCTCGTAAGTACAAGATTGTATCACATGATATATATCACTTTTGCATCTGTCAGCTGCACTTGATAAAAGCGTGAAATCCACTGTCGAAAATTGCATATAATGATCATGCAATTCATTCATCTTGTTTATCTTGTTTGTTTCCATCACAATCGATTTAAATTATATAGTAATTACAATAATTATTGAGAGGTTTATTTATTTCTTAACGTACAGAGTACTTTTCCGTGTTGACATTATTCGCAAAAATTTTTGATGTTATTCTGAAAATATATACAAATTTTAAAAATACAGGAAGTCTCATATTTTCAAATTCAAAAATTATATTACTAAAAAGTTATAAACAAATATTATATTTCCAATTGTAAAAATATAATTTCTTTTATTTTAAATTTAATTGTTACCTTTCGCTGAGTGTTATTCGTGAAGTTTGTTACTTAAATTAAATTTCAAACGACGAGACAACATGTGGTCAACGAATAATCACACGAATGTTTTGATTTGACTGAATGTGTTATACAGGAGAAAAAAAATCTCACCGTGCGATAACGCCCTCTCGCCAATTGTTGTAGAAGCGGGAAACAAGACAAGTTACAGATGGTAATAGAAGGAACATAAAAGTTCCATTCCTTGTAACCACACTGTTGTCCATTTTTATGGAAATTTATTGATTTTAATTCTAGTTTAACTTACTCGTTATACTTTCTAATTCTTAATATTAAAAAAAATAAATTAAATTGAGATTAAAGTTAATCTACATTAAACTGAATATATATCGTATTTTCTATATTTGAAATGAAACAGCTTTATAGATGAGTATAATGGGATAGAAAAAGACGAATGATACAAAACATTCGAAGATCAAATTAAAAGTATCTCGAAATCACGTATCTTGTGATTCGAATCTGACTTTGAAGTAATTCTGAAGGTAATTGAGGAGTGTCGATATATCGACTATAAATTTGTTGTTGCTTACATAAATATTTGAATAATACATTATGAAATGCCTTTTTTATTGTACATATGTTTCGTAAGTAAATATACATACTTATGCATAATATATCTATATTGTCGCAAAATTATTTGTTTTTTTCTATAATTACTATTTATTTATAATAATCGAACGCGGACAGCAATTATATAGCTATAAAAAGCTATAAAAAGAGAATAGCTTTAAAGAATAGCTTTAAAAAAAATTTTAAATAAAATTAAATATTACCAATATTACTTGTAAATATATGTACATGTTTATTGTCTATCTCTATTAATGTAGTTTTAATTTCTACTAATCATTAATTTCTTTTTAACTACTAAAATTAGAAAGAAATGAAGAATAAATTAAATCTCGATTAAAATTGATTAAAATTAATCTACGTTAGTATAAATGGACATAAGAAACATTCTCTCTCTCTCTCTCTCTTCTTCTTTTTAACAATTCTCTCTCTCTCTCTCTCTCTCTCTCTCTCTCTCTCTTCTCTCGCTCCATCCCTCTCTCTCTCTTTAAAGTAAATTGAACTTTGTAGTTATTTGAAGTCTATAAATTTTTTTTACATTGAATCATCAATTTTCTTTGATTATGTCGATTGTCAAAGAGAAATCAGTATTTTATTGCGTGATTCTAACTTTTCATATATATTAAAAAAGATATTAATTCGTCGAAATGAGATCAGCTTCAAATTAATTCAGACGAAATTGCACCATCCGCATGCTATTAGTTCCGCCAGTGAATTGCAGTTAATCTATCAATCTCATCGTGAAGTTTCCTGAAGATTCCTCATACCGTTTCCCAATTAGAAGATTTTTTTTTCTGAAGATGCACAAGTCGCAGTTTCTTTTTAAAGATTCAGACAATTCGGAGATACATTTCTCAAGGATGAGCTGAAAGCAACGACTCATCTACTCGGCCGACATTTCTACTCCTAATGATAAAGTTATCTCTGCGTGATATAATGCGTGATATAATCTTTATGATTAGAGATACGATCCCTCCCTCTCGCTCCTCTTAGATCGCAGCACACAGCCGTGAGATGGGCGCAGGGAGATAAAAGCGCGCTCACGCAAACTAAATTAGAGAGAGAATAAAATTAGTCGAAGCCGAGGAGAAAAACCGGGCATCGATCCAACCGCGTTGCGATATTTGTCGTGACGTGTTCTTATACAGGTCGGAGCCAATAGAGAGAAAACGCGAATGGCAAAACGTGCGAGAGGCAGAGAATGAGGCAGGAAGCGCATCTTGAAGAAAACTTGCATCTTGCTCTCCAGCATGAGAATTCCTCTCTCGTGGTTTCGTTCTAGAAAAAGGCTCGCGATCCTTCCCGTGAACGCGCGGCTCGCACTCGACTAATTGGAAAAAAGTAAATTATTAGCGAGTGACACGCGCGACGACTCCAGCTAAATTGCACGTTCAGGCACGCGGATGTGGCTTGCTACGTAATAATCCGAGCCTAGGTAATCCTTAGCCACGAAAATAACGCGCACGAAACGCGCGATGATTATTCAAGGACATCATCGCCGATGTTGCATCACGCTATGCACATGTGAATTCGATTTGCCTGAGAGAAAGCTGCATCCTGCGCGCACGGTATAAAAATAAAGAAAATAGAAATTAATTTGTAAAGATAAATATATTTCTGTTATTCTTATAATTTATATTTTTTTCTGAGTACCAAGGCGAATCTTTTGAAAGAACAACTCGGTTGCTTCTCATCTTAACCTAATAAATATGTAATATTCATTGAAACTTTAACGTTAATAATGCACTGCTATATGATAGAAACCTGTAGTGTTCTAAACGTATATTCATAATGCAAATGCTCGAGAACTTCAAAGATTTTAATTAAAAGTGTCAAAGGTTAAAAGTGTTAAAATTCACAGGAAGCAAGAATAAAGAACAATAAATTTTAAATATTTGATTCTTGAATCGAATTGAATCTCATTTCCTTCTTCGAATCCGATTCAAATAAAAATTCTGTTCTAACTTATTTTTATCTTATTTAAAAAAATAGCTGCAATGTTTTTCTTAATAGGAAACATTACATACAATTTATAAAATAATTAAAATATGGGATTCGTATTTGAACTTCCTAGATTTGAAATTCCGAATAATTCAGATCCAGAATTATAGAGATTCCAATCTGAATTGCATCGAATTTTCACCTGCATTCGAATAGATTTTTAATATAATCTATGTTTTTTTAGTGCTTAATGAAGAAATATCAAGATGTTCTTTCATTGTTCTTTCATTGTTCGAAAATAATTTTCTGCTCTTAATTCCTTACATTCCAGTTCTGAGGCACAGCAAGCAATTCGAATGTTAAAATTTTACGGCGATTTCAATCGAAAGTTTTAAAGACCAGTTAACGTCCAATGATTTGTTTCCAAAAAAGAGATCTCAAGATTGCATCGATGAAGGGAAAAATAAAAAAATACAGTGAAAAATATAATATGAGGCTAAGCATACATCCACAAGATAACATTAGCAGTAAACCTTCTTAGTGATAAAACCAATGAACATAGATTAAAACGAATTATGAACCTATTGATCTCAGGACAAAATTCAACTAATCATTATTCAGTTACTAATCAATTCGTTAACGCAAACTCATCCTAATGTGGGGATGTTTGTGATCTAAATACTGGGATTTTAGTAATGTAAGTAAAATCTAATTGTTTATTAATTTATTAATTAAAATCCCAATATTCATAAATATTCAACTTAACTTGAATTTGAACAATGAAGATATTGACTAAGGAACTGAGGAAATATCTACAAGTCACTGTATAGCTTCATAAGATTTACTTATTGTTTTATAGTTAGATAGATAGTAAATTTACTTGGGAGATAATAAAAGAAAATTCCTATTTATTCCTATATTTAATTCTTTATCCCTTATTAAATCTGAACATAGTCAAAGTGTCTTCAGTGAAAGAAACAACAAAAGAATTCGCATTATACGTTATCTTGTGGATCGAACGAATGAATGGAGCATGGATAATTTGGTTACTTCAATCCTAGATTGCGTTCGGAAATACCACCTAAATGATTCCATATATCATTTTATCCTTGTTGTTGATTGAATGTTAAACAAAGATAAAATGATGCACAGGACAATCGGGTGATATTTCTGAACATAGCTCTAAGAAAGTAAACCGAGTATAAATCACTGTGCACAAGAGAAATATTCGTCATTCAAACTACTTCCCCGTTTCTCTTCCCCGCTAGCGGACCGCTCACCCACGCGCGCATGCGCGTCTCCGTACCGCATAGGAAGGGCCGACGATACGTCATCGCACACGCCGCGAGTGCACATCGTCAGCTGGTCGCGGTCGCGGTACAGGACGTGACGCGGATCATCGGCTGTGTGTGTATGTGTGTGTGTGTGTGTGTGTGTGTGAGGAAGACCGACCGAGACGAATTGGAGATTCGCGGGGGTGCGTTATATAAGAAAAGCGCGGGCTGGCGCGATGTGAAGTGTGTGCGCGTCGCCTCGCGATCGAGACATTTCGCGTCCCGTCGCGTCGCGTCGCGTCGCGTCGCGTCTCGTCGCGTCTCGTCGCGTCTCGTCTCGTAGCGTCTCGTAGCGTCTCGTAGCGTCGCGACGCGACGTTCTCGAAGTACGCGCAGCGCACATACCCGCCGCGCGCTGACGCACGCACGCGCGAATAGTCGGCCGTCGGTCCCGGTCGGGAAAGCGAGAGATAACGTGCGATAGCCGTTCCCAGCGAAATCGCGAGGACGGTCGTGGAAGAGACGGGAGACTCATCGAAGTGTCTTTGTTCGCCGCATTGTCTTGTCTCCGCGTTGTCTCTTTCTCTCTTCCTCTCCGCGCTCCTTGCCGCCTTCCCACGCGCTCGTGCAAAGTTCATCCCCGCCGGTCGCTTACGTACTCGTGCCAAACCGCGCGTCGACGGGGGTGACGATAAGAGGCTCCGCGATAAGAGATCGCGTTTGTCGTATTCTCGCGAGCGTCGCCCACGCGCGATTTACAGAATCTCAGTGTCGTCTCCCGTGACTCGCGCGTGTTAGTAAGCAGACAGCTCCTGTTCAATCACTTTGACAGTTCGACGAGATGTCCGGCTATCCGACCGAGGTCGATCCGTTCAGCGAGACGTCGCTGGAGATGCCTATGGAACAAGAATCCTACGAAGGTACGACTACGAAAACCCCCTCCCCTCCCCCCCCCTGCAATCCCCTAGGAAGCGGCCGTTGGAACGACATTGTTATAACGCCGTTATCGGCCGCTATTATTCGATATGCCGCCCCTGCCGGTGATGTCAGATTATTGTTAACGTTAGTCGTTATCAATAGCGCGAATAGGTACGAATGTTCGAATGTTCAAGATCCTTGAGAGCTCGTTGAGCGTAAAATCACACGGTTGATCGAACACGCGAGGCGAATTTTTTTTCTGTTGGATTTTACGGCCTTCTAATCTATTTGCATTATCCGAAGGATTTATCTAGATCTCTAGATTAGATTTACTACGATGACGCATAGTTCTCTTTCACAGAAATAATTTATAAATCATAATTTATATATCAAGATTTGTATGAGAAAAATTTTTATTATGTAGATTAAAAACAGGATTCTTACGCGTTAATGAATGCCTTTCTGAGGCGCGCGTGAAGGATGAGGTGTCTAATGATTTCATTTAAGTCCCACACAAAGATGACCAAGTGAAAAAAGTTCAAAGAACAAAATGTAAACAATAATGCTGCATTTATTTATCTAGATTTGTCAAAGATAACACGTTTATCTTTTTAAAAAATAATTTACAAAGATTTCAAGTGGAGAGCGGTATAAAGTTTTATGTAGGCGTTTGAAAACAAAACTTATTTTTTATGTATTCACGAATTTATTTTTGAAGCATATTAACGAAAGTGTATAAATAAGTCTAATATGTTTTTCTCTTTTATATAAAGATCCATGCACGATAAAAAAATAGTCTATTAGCACTACCGCTTATTAATTAATGCACTCTAAGGATATATAATATAAAAAGACTTAATTTTTGTTTTATATATAGGTGATGATGAAGCGACATTAGAAGAAAGTCCAAAGAACGACGTGGAAACTAATGCTGTGATCGAGACAGCTTACGCAGAACCTTTGATCCCAGAAGAAATACGATGGTTTTACAAAGACGGTGTTGACAAAAGATGGAAAGAATTTTGCGGATACGATAGCATAAAAATCGAGAAAATTTATCAGGAACGTCATAGCTTAATTAGCCAAAGTAACGATGGCACGAACGGTTTGCCACCTGCTGAGAAAATTGTAGTTAGAGGTGGCATGTACGATGTCGAAATTGATAATATGAAATGCGTTTCGATATATTGGCCAGGTGAATATCACGTATTTTATCTTCCTTTTACTTTTACCTTGTTGTTATTCTCATCGTCTCATATATCTTTGTCGCGTATCTTTCTTTTTCCTTTCTTCAATTGCAATCTGCCTCGATTGACGATTGATACTAATAAACCGCGGATCAGAAGAGTCGACGCAGATATACGTCTGAATATCTTAATAATGATTTAAATGCATGTTTAGATTTCTATATTTTTCTCGTTTGAGTGCGTGATGCCTGTCTTTATACTGCAGAGATTACTTTGTCCTTGAGGCTATTATAGCCAATTCGTATTGACTGTGTCTATTACGACTTGCAACATGTGCGAAACAAATATAATGCAGGCAATAGATTCCATCACTGTAATAAAGAGTTCATTCAGGGCATTTTGATGAAATATATATTATCACTTAATGCATTTCGCATACAATTGTAATATGTTTAAATTATTGCGAATAGATTATTTCGCATTTTTTCTTTATTACATGTTTAAAGTTAAAGTCGATGAATGAAACAAAAATTTGTTTATGATGACGAAGGTAGAGACTTGAACTCTTGCACTTTTCTGACGAAGTTGAATTTATTAAAATTCATTTATGTTAATTACACGAATATGCAAGATATGTGCCAACGGACAAATGCAATAAAATACAAATATATAAATTTTGATTGAAGGTGAGGAATGGGAAATTATGAGGGGTACATGGTATTACGATGGCAGCTGGATCCCATTGGAAACGGAACATTCCAAAGTAATAGAGGAAGTGCATCTTAAATTATTCCAAAAGGAAAGCAACAATCAAAGTATCACTCCATGCGAAACAAATGCTCCTCAGTCTTGTAAAGGTACTTTTTCCTTCCTCTTTTTATTCCTTCAATTTTATTGAACTTGCATAATACATTGTATTTCATTGTACTAAAAATTTCCTTATTGTTTTCAGTGTTACATACCGAACAATTTCCCGAATTTCACGTCGACTGGCATTCGATTAATGACGTAACATTATACAGCGAATATACGCCTACTAAACTGATGCGTAGCGTTACATCAAAATTAGGTTTTGCCAAAAGTTAGTTTGGGATTAGACATAATAAAAATATTGAATATCAGTCTTACGTAAAAACATTGTTTTCAATTTTAAATTCACAGCAACAGGTTATCGCTTGAAAAGGGGTTACAAAACGCGTGCAAGTACGGAAGATAAGCCGCGCGATATCGATCATCTAGTGTTTGTTGTTCACGGAATAGGACAAAAGCGTGACACAGAGAAAATCATACGTAACACCACATGGTACATAGAATAATAATCATTTTCATATATAATACAATATTTTTATATAATAATATGTTGTTTCTAAATGACGAATGAATTAACAGTTTCAGGGATTGCGTGGATTGGCTCAAGCAAAAATATTTTCCGAATTCTAAACATAGAGTAGAATTCTTTGCAGTCGAATGGCGATCATCATTAAAGTTAGACGGAGGTAAAATAGAAACTTTGCATCACGAGAAAGCACTTTGTATTTTATTTACCAAACGTGTAATCTTCTTTTTTAGATATAGTAGATGCAATTACGCCTTATAGTGTATTAAGCATACGTCATTTGTTAAACACGTCAGCAATGGATATTTTGTATTATACAAGTCCTCTGTATGGCGCTGAAGTGCGTGCTGGCTTACAAAAAGACTGAATAGATTGTACTTCATGTTCGCGAGTCGGCATCCCGGCTGGCAAGGGAAAGTCTCAATCTTGGCGCATTCTTTGGGATGTGTCATTGTATACGATATAGTTACAGGTTGGATGGGACCTGACACGCGGCTCTCATGCCCCCAGGCACAAGAAGTTTTATTACAAGGATTGCAATTTCCTGTGAGTTGATTCTCTACAATTAAGCGACATGCAAAGTAAACATCTATAGCTAGAGTAAATTTCAAACTGCGGCTACAGAACGAGTTTACACAAGTCGTCTTCAATTATCGTAAGAATTATACTGAACGGAAATTATTTTCCATTTATAGATAGAGAATTTGTTTTGCTTGGGTTCGCCACTGTCCGTATTCCTGGCGCTGCGCACACGTACTCCATCCAATACGCTAGATGTAATGCCGCAGGGTTTGTGTAAGAGATTTTACAACATATTCCACTGGTCGGATCCAGTGGCTTATAGAATGGAACCACTTTTGGAGAGAGGTTACAGTAAAATCGAGCCAGTTCTGATACCGCCATACGGAGGAGTCGATGGTCAGCAAATGCCACAATCGCCTTCATCGCTGAACAATGTCGATCCGACTTTACCGCCTACAGGTTTGCTTTGATCATTATTTGATTTGTGGTTTGACTTTTACAATGTTTTAAAACTTAGTATATGAAATCTATATTCGTATGACAT